TACTCAAAGGCTACTGGCACATTCTCGGCTCTCAGTCATTTTAAAGATCGCTCCGTACTAGTTCATTACGGACATTGAACTTATTCGTTCGATTAGATCTACTAGCTTTATTCGGTCATCAGTACTACTAAGCAGTTTAAACTGTATCCATCTGTAAAATTTGTGTGGAATCGCAATCTCAGTCGTTCGATATCTGCTCGAATCGTAATGTGTCGTACACACACTTGATAATTTCTTTGTTAAAATAAAAATGTAAAGCAGATTAGTGTGGAAAAAGTAATTTACGTTAGTGCGATAAAATCCCATGTCCATACTCGTAACGTGCGAAATGAAATATCAATATTAAACAATAATAAAAAGCACAAAAAATACTTCTCAATAAATTTTATAACATAACTTCAATTTTATTACATTTTTACGCTATCGCAAGTACCGAAACGAAGTTTAGCAAATGTTTGTTTGTATCTATTTATTAAGTATAATAAGTACAATAATTTTCGAACACAGCGAGTTTAGCGTCTTTTCGGATGATAAGCTAAATTAGACGTTAGTTTACGTTATACTGCATTGACCTGAAATGTATCTTTCTATAACGTCTTAATTGAACGGATTTGATCAATGTACCATTATAGGCATTCGTCGGCTTTTACCAAATGACATACTCAACTCACATACCAATACTCAACTCATATAACGATACTCGTTCTTTTGCTCTGGTACGTTCTCGCTCGCATGCGCGGTCTAGCTTATTGCGTGTGTAAGTGTACGAAAAGCGCTGTCAGAGCAATTAACAATCAGCGTTCGGAAACGTTTCTTCTAGTACAGTACTAAGATTCGTTTCCTATTCGTTCATCATTCGCGAACTACAACACAACTAAACGGCAAAAACCTCGTAAAAGAAAGAAGCTGAGAATTTCATAACTACCATGTTAAACTTCATTTGTATAAAGAGTTCCGCTCTAAGGCGTACGTTACACGCTCATTTAGGCGTCAATCAATTCCATCAATCATGATTGATAAAAAACGGATGGTGACTGATCTGATCGTGCAGGCGTCAATCACTGCATTACAGGGTAGGTTGTTCACGTCCCCCCCGAACGGGTTCCCGCCTTGTCGTGCCGGGGGGCTTAGAAGCCGTGGCTTGGTCACCCACGGCGAAACAAAGAGGAACCCATATGGCTGGTCCGAGGCGGAGGGCCGGCCCGAGGTGGCCACTCCGAGTGGGCTTGGGAAGCCCACTTTGGATGTGTGTTGGTGGACTGCGGTGAGAGGTGTGTCCTCCCCACCTACCGCTGCAGCCGAGGTGGAGTCGTGGAGGAAGAGGAGTGTTGGTATGGCGATGCGCCACTCGCCCTATCCTCCGCGACTCAAACGGGGCCGCACCGTTGATGCGGTAGTGATGGGGCTGCGGGGGAGAGAGGATTGTCGGTATTGCGAGGCGCCGCTCTCCCTATCCTCCGCAGCCGAATCTTGGTTGGCGGCGGAGCCATAGACCAGATCCGCCGCTGGGGTCGGGAAGGCTAGTACTTCTAAGTACTCGTTTTTCCTGGCCCCATGGCCTTCGCGCATCGGACGCGGGGGCGTCTGTTGCGCAGATGTAATTGGAGGCCGTGGAGGAAGGCGTGCCATGTGTTCTGGTGCGCCTTACTTGGGAAGGAGAACGGGGAGGAATATTCCTCTCCCGATGAGGTGCTGCCATGGGGCGGCAGTCGCTGGTGGGGCCGCGGATGTGTGCGAAAGCGTTCCCGTAGCCCTGCCAATATGCGACGAAGGTGGAACACCATGGGGTTTTAGTCGGTGCGAGTCCGACATAACCCGTCCTTGCCCCCGCGAGGCGGGTATGCGTAGGCATTTCCCCATGTTAAAAAAAAAAAAAAAAAAAAAAAGGGTAGGTTGTTCACGTAGTATCCTCTTAGTAGTCTGTGATTGTTCATCAATCACAACCGTGATTGTTGTAAAACTGACATCCTGCATGAGCGTGTAATGTACGCCTAAGAATCTTGTTCTTATTTTAGGAATCTCTCTATGCTAGTGATTACTCCGAGGAGGCCCGCCGAAATAAAAATCGTGGATTGCTGTATAATATAGCAATTATCGTATCAATAACAACGCTAGCCAGAAGGTCCTTCTTCACCAAAAAAAGGGGATACATATGAAACAGAAGTATCGACAACGTTGGGAGATGGAGGATTGAATAATAAACTAGATGGCTTCTGTGGATAATTATCTGTCGTGTGAACCACAGAATACATTTACCCTAACGGGGTGTGAACAATCAACTTTGCGACGGCATATGACAAACAACCAATTTAAAAAAGAAACCTTTACGCTGGAGAAACAAATAAGGAATAGATATTTATAAAATAAATAAAGAACAAAATATATATACAAACTTCATCGCAAACTTAAAAAATGTCCTGAAAATAAAATTCTTGAAATCACTTATAAGCGTTACCGAAATTGTTGTAACTCCTTGTTGAGAAATCTTAAACAAAACTACGAAAAGTCACTATTACGTAATGCAAAAACAAATAAGGATACCTGGAATGCAATTAAAACTATAATAAATTACACAAAACGAAAGACGAGTGCTGATAACCTTTTGAGTTCTAATGAAAATGCTGTTCGTGATGTAGAAAACATAAATAAATACTTTTCTAATATTGGTAAAAAAACTAGCTGACACTGCAAATATTTCAAATCAAAATAGCTCTCCATAAAATTTTACAATTCCATCAGTTTCTAACTCTTTTGTGCTACTTCCACCGGATGAGGGAGAGGTAGAATCGATTATCAGAAGCTTAAAAAATAACTCTACTACTGGATGGGACTCTATACCTGTGCAACTTCTCAAATTATCAGTACATCTAGTAGTTCCACCTTTGACTAAACTTATTGAGCTCTGTTATGCGCAAGGAATCTTTCCAAAAGTTTTTAAAAAATCGCTGATCACTCCTGTTCATAAGGATGGACCACGAGACGAAATCTCCAATTACAGGCCTATTTCAGTACTCTCGTCTATCTCTAAAATCTTGGAAAAATCATTAAATTATAGACTTATTAAATTTTTAGAATATAATAAAGTTATATCTACTTCACAATTTGGATTTAGGTCGGGGAAGTCCACTGAAGACGCGGTAATTCAATTGATAGAATTTGTAACATCAAATGTTGATGCAAAGCAAAAATGTTTGGGGATTTTCCTCGACCTAGCCAAGGCGTTTGACACGGTCTCGATTGCCATCCTTGTGAGAAAGTTAGAACGCGTTGGTATTCGTGGCAATGCACTCATGATTTTTAAGGACTTCCTATGTGACCGTAAACAACAGATTAAAGTTGGTGAATATGTCAGCCCCGGAGAACCGTTTGTATGTGGCGTTCCACAGGGAAGTATACTAGGACCTAGTCTCTTCCTTATCTACATAAATGATTTATCTCAGCAACCTCTAGTAAACGGCAAAATATTTACCTATGCTGATGATACAGCTTTAGTCTTCCATGGTAAGACTTGGAATGTGGCTCGACATAACGCTCAGCTGGGACTTCACAGAGTTGGCCATTGGCTCGGCGCTAATCTCCTAACCTTAAATATTTCAAAAACTACATACATACAGTTTTCCTTGGGAAATACTGGATCCGTAAACCTTCATCTTAAGGTCCACTCGTGTACTAACCCTTTCAATACTAGCCCCCCCCCCCCATGTTCATGTCTTGCAATTACTAAATCCAATAGTGTCAAATATCTTGGTGTAATACTGGACGACAAACTTAACTGGCGCTCACACATAGAGCTTACGTAACTGAACGTACTAGAAAATTTATTTGAGTGTTTAAAAAGTTAAAGATACACTGCTGATTTACCTCTCTTGCGTTCAATTTACTATGCTTTAGTTCAGTCCGTAATAGGGTACTGTATAAACGTCTGGGGAGGAGCCTGTAAGAGCTTTCTAATCCGCCTGGAAAGGGCACAAAGATCACTCCTAAAAGTCATGACCTTTAGGCCATACAGATTTCCCACTAAAGAATTGTATGAGATAATATGTCGAGTATTAACTGTGAGGCAACTGTACATTTTGAAATTAATTACTAAACAGCATATGGTTACCATTTATAATGCCACTGATTATAACAAAAACCGGGTTGTAAAAAATGTGTGTTTACCAATAACATGTCGAACAGCCGGCAACATGCATATAAAGCTATATATTTATACAACAAAATTAATAAGTTAACAAATATATATCCCTTAACTAGTAGCAAAGTGAAAATTAAAATTAAGAATTGGCTATTGATTAGATTATGAACAAACTGAATCGATATTAGTATAATTTTTTTTTACAAACATGAAAAAAAATATTGTTTAAATCTTAAATTTCAACCACACACACGAACACATGCAAACGCACGCACACTCACGCGCACTCACACACACTTGCCCAGACACGCACCCAGACGCAAGCAAACACACACACATACACACACACACACACACACACACACACACACACACACACACACACACACACACACACACATACACACGCACGCAAACATGCACACAACTACACACACAAATACACACACGCAACACACAGATTTTAAAATTGCTTTATTTACATAAAATAAGTAGCTGTCATTATATTAGGGAAATCGCTGACTCTCGTAACACAGGTTTTCTAACCTAGCGCTGGAGTCAGAGGCTTAAAAAATATTGTAACAAATTTTATGTCAATAAAGATTATTATTATTATTATTAATTATTTCCTAAAAATACGGCAAACCGGACTGTTACAGCAGTTCAGAATTTTTTGATAAGAACACTGGTTTAGTGTCAATGTTATTTTTCTGTTTTTCTTTTTTCTGGCCTGTCAAGTGTCACCTTAATTAGCGGAGTGGAACAAAATCACTATAACTTGAACATTGATTTTCTTGATAAACTAGAATGTTAAAATTATACGTTATACGTTTTGTTTTCTAGTGTTTGTTAAAAACATCAAATCATGGGTGCTTTTGCGAGCAGACAAAATGATGGAGTTGAAGAAGCAGACGTCGTATCAAATCATGCATACAAATATCCACCGCGATCGGGTTAGCTTGACCTTTATTTATTATTTTAGTTAATTGTGCCTAATTGTTATGCTTTATTATTGCTTATTAAAGAAAAGGTATCTGCTAAGCCTTAGAATTACTTCTGTCGCTACTAAATAAATAATGGGTTGCATATTTATTAAATAGATTGGATTCTTTTTTCAATTTATAGCATTTGGTGACAAACGAGCACACAGTACACTTGATGGTAAGTGGATGCTGTGGCCCATAGACATCCACATTTATCTTCAATTAATGATCAAAATGCAAATGCGTTGTCTTCCCTAAGGACAAAGATGGAATGACTTGAATCTAATAAAAAGGGTTTTCGGCTCTCTACATTCACCATACGAAACACAGCAGCATTACGCTGGTATTATGCCCTGGTAGAGCATACCATGATTTGTGCTACAACTACAATATGGCTGCAGCGGGGCTCTACCATCTAAAGATATAAAAATATTTGCTTCTCCTTTAACTATCCATAAGGCAAACATAAGACTTTTTAAAATTAACAGCATAATTGATGAAATAATACTAGTTTTTACGGAATTTATCGCGTATATTTTAACTTTTTAAATACCCGACGTTTCGAATGCTTTACAGTACTCATGGTCACGAGCAGGACTGAGATGTTCAATGTCCATATGTCATAGTTAACCGCGGTTACCATAGATTAAAATTTAACTTTTGTTTATTGTATATTAATCTATGGTAACCGCGGTTAACTATGACATATGGACATTGAACATCTCAGTCCTGCCCGTGACCATGAGTGCTGTAAAGCGTCTGAAACGTCGGGTATTTAAAAAGTTAAAATATACGCGATAAATTCGTAAAAACTAGTATTATTTCAATGTGTAGTGTTCGCGTAAATATAAGAAATCATTAAGCATAATTGATATTTAAATTTCTAGTAGCTGACTTTTTTTGTATGTTTCATAGAGCTGTTTATATGCTTTAATAAAGTTACTATCTTTAATCTTGTTCAAATTTGATGTACTTATAAACTGCAGAAATCTTGAAATTCTTGTATACAATTTTAACTGAATATTATTATTATTTTTTTATTATGTGCGAACAGCTATGCAGGTCTAGGTAAAGAGACCAGTATCACTGCGACCTAGAAGATCTATTGTGATCGCTGCTATGGCTATAGTTCACTGCTAAGCCCTATGTCTTCAATGAATCGAAGGAGTTGCTTAGCTGTGAGCAATTTCACTTCTGGGCGGTGAGATAGTGTCCCAGATGAGTGTTACGTTTGCACATTAAGGGTCCGCAAACGGTTAGGATGTGTAGAGGTGTTTCTTCCGTTATGAAACAGAACCGAGTGTGAGTTGAGTTGCTTAGTCCCAGGATGGACATGTGCTTTTTAAGACAACAGTGTCCAGTTAGGGCTCTTGCCAGAATGCGCAATTTATTTTTACTTAATCCCTTCTAAGGGCTTCTGAAACGAATTTACGATCAAAAGCCCGGATTAAGGTTTTAGAATGTTTTAAGCCTGGTGTGTTAGACCAGCTCTTAAGTGATTTATTGTGATAAAGAGTTTCAAGGGTCAATCGGGCTAGGCTTCTTGAGATTCCACAAAATGGCTCGGGTCCAAATTGTGTGCACTTTGAGGTCTCCCGTGCAAGTTTGTCTGCAAATTCGTTGCCTACAATACCCTTGTGACCCGGAACCCATCTCAAAACGACCCTGTTTTTACAACCCAGGGCATTTAAACGGTTCACGCAGTCTCCAACTAGCTTTGAGTTCACTAAGTTTGATCTCAGTGCTAGCAGTGCTGCTTGACTATCAGAGTTTATGTTAATTTTATGGTCGACGTAGTGTTTTTGCAGATTGATTTCTGCACACCGAAGTATGGCGATAATTTCTGCCTGGAAGATAGAGGTGTATCTACCCAAATTCATACTAAGTTTGAATTTGCGGCGTTCCCCGTAAATTCCAAAGCCTACGTCGAGGCCCATTTTAGACCCATCGGTATACCATATGAGGCTACCGATCTCACAGATAACCTGGCCATTCAGCCAGTCTTCTCTGGAGGGTAATTCCACTATATACTTTTTATCAAAAGTATAGTATAGTGGACGCATGATATCTGAGATCATGCATAAGACCGGTGATTCCTTAATTGAGTTGAGCATGGATCTCAATCTATAGGAGAGCAAGCTCAGACCGCCCTGGGCGTTAATCCTATACAAACTAGCCCTCGCCTCCTTGTCTAGATAGAGATCAAGGGGCGTTAGGCATAGAATTGCATTAAGAGCTGCTCCAGGCGATGATCGCATAGCTCCAGTTGCCGTTAGGCATGTAGTCCTTTCTAGACTATTTAGTCTGTCCGCAGTCGTTGGTTGGCCTTGTTACACCAGACAATAGAGGCGTAGGTGAGAATCGGCCTCACTATGCTGCTGTACAGCCATAGGACCATACTGGGACACAAGCTCCAGTTGTTCCCGACCAAACGACTGCACGTACCTAAAGCAATTTTTGCCTTATGGCATACGTTGCTAAGGTGAGAGTTCCACGTTAGTTTTTGGTCGATTGTTACGCCCAAGTACTTAACTTCCGTGGAAAATGGTACTTCTTTGCCATTAAGTTTTGGTTGGACTAATTTGTCCAAGTGTCTCTTTTTGGTAAAGGGTATTATAACAGTTTTATCAGCATTAACTGATAAACTGTTATCCCTACACCAGTTATTTATGGTGTTTATGGCTCTTTGTATTATTGACAATAAAGTACTTTGGCAAAAGCCCCTTGCAATGATCACAAGGTCATCAGCATAACCCAGTGTGTCAATGCGTAGGTCTGCCATTTTGTACAATAGTTGGTCAACCGCAAGAGTCCAAAGAAGGGGTGACAAAACACCTCCTTGTGGGCAGCCTCTTGTGGTTGCAACCTCAATCGAAGTTTGAAACAGCGCTATTTTTGCCTTTCTGTTTGAGAGCATCGACTTCACCCATCTGATGGTTGTGGGGTCAACATTTTTAGATGTTAGGCCTCCAATCAACAGTGATGTGGGGCTACTGTCGAAGGCGCCCTCAATATCTAGAAAGGCACAAAGAGCTATTTCTTTATCCGCCAGTGCTTTTTCGACCCTGTCAATGACACTGATCAGGGCTGTTTCCGTAGATTTGCCTCTGCGGTAAGCATGCTGGTTGTAATGTATGGGCCTCGTAGCTAGAGCTACATCCCTTATATATCTATCTATAACCTTTTCCAATGTCTTAAGAAGAAAGGAAGATAGGCTTATAGGTCTAAAGGACTATGGTAATTGTCCATTGTTCTGGAATATATCCCCATGCAAAACTTGCTCTGAAGATTTTCACCAGATAAGGAAGAAGGATGTCTATACCCCTCTGTAGTTGGATGGGAATTATTCCATCCTCCCCGCTTGATTTAAATGGTTCAAAGGAGTCAACAGCCCACTGCACCAGGTTTGGCCTTATTATCTTTGCAGCCCTACGCCAGTCCTCATTGCAAGGCCTTCGTAGGGCTCTGAAAGAGTTCGAGGCTGAAGTCTTGTATGACCCTGGGAAATGGGTTGACGCTAGTAACTCCAATGTTTCTGTTTCACTATTAGTGAAATTCGACTTTTTAAGAAGCCTGATCTGATTAGGTTTAGCTTTCGATAGCATCTTGTGTAGTTTTGCACTGCAAGGCAAAGACTCAACTTCCTCGCATAGCTTCCTCCACGATGCTCTCTTGGCTTTCCTAATTTCTCTATTATATTCAGTTAGGGCTGTACTATAAATATCCCACTCTTTGGTTTTCTTAGCCCTATTAAATAGTTTCCTGGTCTTTTCCCTAAGGTCTTTCAGCTTAGAATTCCACCAAGAAACTTGACTGAGGTCGTGTTGAGGTCTTGGTTTTGACGGGACAACTGTCCTCGAAGACTTCACAGATACCTACGGTTACTGTCTCCGTCGCTAACTCCAGACCTTCAATTGTTTTGATGCTTTTAGGAAACGTTTCCAAATTCCTCCTTAGGCTATCTCTATAGATATCCCAGGAGGACGCTTTTGGATCCCTAAAAGTAACGGTTTCAAAGGATGGTGATGCTCCAATCACAAACTTAATGTGCTTGTGATCAGACATCGAGTTTTCGCTACTAACATGCCAGTCATTTATCCGCCTGGACATGTTATTGGTAGCAAAGGTTATGTCTAACACTTCTTGCCTAGCACGCGTTACAAAGGTTGGTGTACAACCTAATTTTAGGTTTACCAGGCGGTTGGAGATGAGAAAATCATAAAGTAACTCACCTCTTTCGTTGATGTTGGTGCTTCCCCAGGCTGTGTGGTGAGCATTAGCATCACAACCCACCACAAGTTCGGCGTTGTGTTTTCGGGCGAACTCCGCCACTCGCTCTAACTCGATGGTAGGATCTGCGTTCTCGCCGGGAAGATAGCTGAGCAAATTATTACTTTGGCCCCTGTGCATCCCTTGAGATTTATGAAGGCTGTAACCAGGTCATCGTTGCAGTACTCTGGAACAGCTAAAAGTTCAATATTTTTATTATAAATTATACAAGCTCTGGGTCTACTGCCTTTGGTATTGACAAGAATCTTACCGGCAGCCGCCAATCCCAGAACTTGACCGTTGGCCACCCAAGGCTCTTGTATAAGGGCGAGGTCAATGTTGTCCTCTGCAAAGCAAACCACCACGGCAGAAGCAGCTGCTGCATGGTAAAGATTTGCTTGGAGGACCCTCGTCTTAGCCTTGGGTTTAGCCATTTATGGGCCGGGGGGGCAAGGGTCTTTTCCGCCTGTTGAGGACGAGGACGTCCTTTTCCTGCGAATTTGACCCCCGCCTTACCTTTCTTCGAACCGCTCCCACCTCCCATCCCCCCGGCCTAGACGACACCAGCGGAGGCCGTCGGACCGAGGCGAAATCTGCGCCTTGGGTCTTCGTCACTCTCACCGGTGGCGTTCCAGCCTCACCCCGAGAGGTGGAGGGCTGAGGGGATTGGGGTTGGTATTGGGGTAGTTCGGGATCCATTG